CCCTGTAGCAATTAATTGCCCACCCCTGTGCTAGGAGAAGGAGACAAAAGCAGCAGTAGCAGGGGAGCCCCAGGCGGCAGCATGGCAAGAATGCACACCATGCCACGAAAGTTTTGATATTTGGGCTAAAGTCAAAAAAACCCAATCCCTCTGCCAGTTTATTCCAGCAGTGGGATAATGCCTTAAGCAAAAGAGAAACAACTGGTCCCCATTGGCCGTTTTTCTGTTTACATTTTTTTCCAGAAATTAAAGATCAGATATAAATCTTTGTAGTAATGGTTTACCTGAACAGACCTCTGTCCCATTTTCTAAGTCGCATAGGCATCCTTCAGTCTCGAGAGACTATGGTAACATGCTCTGAATCGAGGAGTGTCCTCTCCAGAGCATGAATCCTGGGTAAAGTAATATGGAGGATAGGCTGTTACCCAAGCAGCATATCCCCCCTCTCCACATTGCTGAAATGGTCCGATGGAAAGGCAAGAGCCAATACAACTGGTTCCAGCAACGTCGCAGGAGTTGGCAGAACGACACGAACTGCCTTCAGGACTCCAGCTCCGGATTTTGCCTCGAGGTTAACTCCTGAAGCCTTTTCCATGAGTGGATATAGCCGCAAGGCAGTGGAGGTTTGAAATTGGAGTTTTTCTTCTCCTAGATGGGCTGCCTTCCATGGCTGACGAGCCCCACCTACCCAGCTTTACTCTAAGTCACAAAACAATGTGTGGATATGTTTCATATATTATATATGCAAAAAATATAGATAGACTAAATGTGTAGGAGAATTCAGTAGCAGTCTTTCAAGCAGTATAGCTTGACATTTTCTTCCACAACCAATGGGAAACCTCAATAACTTTCTATACTTACTCTAAAGTATTCATTACCAGACTTTGTGTAGTATTAAGTAAATATAAGATGCACCTTAAGCTGATGTTCTTTTTTCTCTTGCTATAACAGAAAACAACCAATTTTTATACCGCTCAGTATGTAATGGTGTCAACACCATCAAAACAGTCTAATATCAAACCTTGGATTATTCTCCTAGTTTGCTTAACTGATCAATAGTAGCTGCAGACCACAATTTGTGGTTTAAATACAACAATAAGCTAGCTTTCATTGAAAGTAGAAGAAAAGGTAACAGATATATTAGGAAGGTGAGAGGAGTATATACACCTGTCTCTTCCTGCTCATGTGTACATCCTTGAATTCAGCTTAAGATTTGCACTAGACCAGCCGATTGGAAACAAATTGGTCAAGAAGGTGAGTATCACAGTCTGATTAAGCAAAATAGTGTACGCCAACATGGTGCTGAGTTTTTAGCCGAATTTCACTGCTGCCATGGCCATATATTCGTTGTTGTAATCACGAGAGGAGGGGTCATGCCGGCAAACCTGAAGACAAGATGAAAGTTGTAGGTCTTTTAGACTGATGGTACTATTTAAGTTTTTTTGTGCTCAAGCTGAAATTAATCTCAGCTGTCTAATATTTTAACATCTTGATTCCACTTTGGCTGTTTTACTTGTTTTCATTGCATATCATTCCCCCCCTCCTTTTGTGTACACAAATTAAAAAGTTAATATTAACAGGTGCTTCCTAATGTATATCACAACCTAAGGCATTTGTGCTAACAATCAGGAAATTACTTCCTGATATCTTTTTGCTGATGGGCGCAAGATCTTGTCTCTCTCTTTTTCTCTCTTCCCCTAGGGCTCTGAGGCTTTAAATCAATAAACAGTGTAGTCATATTAAAACTGAAAGTAGAGTACACTCACTGGTGACTGGATTTCAAAAGCAAATGCAAACCACTCTCAGATTTGTTCATCAAAGCAGTTTCTGTTTTGCACACCTACTTGCTACATCTGTGGATGTTCTGCTCACTATGATTCCTGCTAAATGAAACCCCGGATGCCACTCTGTCTCCAAGAAACAGGGCAGAAGGTGTCAAGGGTAGGCTGTTGACATCACTTACCATAGCTCTGAAGGAACAAACTATTAGCAAGAAGATGGAGAAGCCAACAGAAAAAACAGTGAGCCCAACCAGGATCTTTGATGTAAGGTCTGAAAGCAAGCAGGATTCTTCTGTGCCTTAGAGAGAAAACAGCATGGGGCTCAGAATTGGCATTTGAGACCTAAGACTGACATGGTGAGCTCTCCATGAGCTATCCTAGGTTGCCAGGATACAGTTTCAAAAGTTACATTCTAGTTGGGCAGTCTGAGAGCCGCAATCCAAAAATGTAACTTTTCCAAACTTTTCCTTTATGTCCCAATCTTCCTCCATATTAGTGATCAGAGCTCGAAAGTGATCTGAGTTACCCATAACTATGGGAGTTTTTAATAATGAGAAATGTAGTTAAAACATTACTTTCAGGTGTAATGGGTAACCACTAAGTTACTTTATCTATACAATGACCAACACCTACCTATTTTCATAAGTCACTTTTTAGGGATATTTTCAGGTACTTTGATAGGAATTTTATCAGGCAAGAAAAATATTCTTTGCCTTTGTCTTTTTAGAAATCCTTCAAGTACGATTTTTCTCCATTGGCCATGTGGTCACTTGGCCACCAAGATGAACTTGCTTGGCCACTAGGTCCCTATGGAGAACCAGAAATCATTTCTCCATGTTTTTCTGGCCTATTGGTAATATTAATAGCAGGCAATACAGAGAATTGCTTGTGTGACCAGGGTGATAAAAATGATAATGGCTGTTTGGCTGCTGGGACATCATAACCTATACAATAAAATCCTTTTAAATGTAACATTCTGAGCTCTACTGCTAACAAAATATGCCCTGCTATAGCAACTAAGGGAAAGCAAGCTGCATCCAAGGGAAATTGACAGAGCTGCTTATCCTCCTGACCTCCAGTGAAATGAAAGGCCCTTCCCACCAATTATACTTAAAACCGGTCATTAACATACAAAGATATCTAGAGCATTTCAAATGGCCCTCAAGGATCACTTTAAGAAGACACACAACAAAAGCCTGTCAACAAGAAGGAAAGTCTGGCCAACCCTCCTCTTAATTCTGGTGAAATTGGTGGACCTGAGCTTGAGCCAAGATGGGAATGTCCATTGCTTTATTTCTGGATTGTATGGGACAATGGACAGCTGCTGAGTGAGCCAGCTTCACAAAATACATCTGAATTTGAAGGGGTGCAGTATGAAACAAAAACTCTGAGATGTTCCATTCAAACAGGCAAGCCATCAAGTAACAAGCATGCAGTTGTGAAGCAGCACTTAGAACACATGCCTGTATTATCCGAAAGGTAAAGCTAATGTGTGTGCAGACTCCTGAAAGGGTAACTGTTCACTAAAGGGGAGCACAACAGTAGATGTTTTCAGCCCATGGTTCCCATCAGCTTTATCCAATACAGAAACAAACAATAAGGGTCTATGAGAGTCTCAGTCCAGCCATCTCTGGAAGGCCACAGCTGCCTGTTCCCAAGCTAGTAGAAGTCACAATAATTTAACAAGGATGGAATTCTGGCATCCAAACCCTGGTTCTTTAAGCCATAGACCCCAATCCTCTTAACTCAATGGTTCCCAAATTGTACACCACAGCACACCAGGGTGCCCACCAAACCCAGTCACAGGCCCCGCAAAATCCTCTCATGATAGCTGGGGGAATTCTGGGAGCTGTGATCCAAAAAAAAAAGTAATGCTTTCTATTTCTGACCTTCTGGGAGGCATTGCAAAAAATAAATAAATAAATAAATAAAAGAGATGAGGGAAGCAGAACTTTTGGCAGGCAGAACTCTTCCTCTGCCGCCACCCAGGTGGAACTCTAATGGAGGGCAATGGCTTGTGGGAAATCAGCTGTTTCTGGTGCAGGGTGGGGCTTCCTGCTGTGGGGAAAGGAAAAGGGACTATCAGGGGACAGTTGCCGTTCTGGCAGCAGTGGAACAACAGCTCATCAGCGGTGGTTTGCAGGAGGTTTTGGCAAGGAGGCCCTCAGTGAAAGAGAGGGGGGCAAGGGCCAGTATGGTGGGCGGGCAGGAGGGGGAGCCCTTTTCTGGGACAGTTTTGGGGGAGGTGGAAGCAGAGGCAGCCTTGAGGTTTGGACGAATGAGCCTGCCAGATACTGCCTACCTGGGGCCTCTTCTCAGGTCACTCTGTCCAGAAGGAAGAAGGAGAGAAGAGACAGGACTGGGAAATGTTGCCTTTTTTTTTTTACTATAGCTCCCAGCATTCTCACTTGGGGGGCATTCTGACTGAGAAATTCTGGGAGTTGTAGTTGCACATACTGTACTGGGTAACTTTTCAAAGTTTTGGGAAGACAGGTGCTGAACATCACATCACTTTGAGGTTGGTTGTCAGATTCAAAAAGTCGCCGTTCTCATTATCGTCCCTGCCTTCCTGTGCTCCTGCTGCCTCAACCCTCACAGGGGACTCCTGAATGCAAACTGGATGTTAGGGTCTGGTGTTGGAGAGTGGTCGCATTGCTGGGGGTTGGGGATTGTTGGCTGTGAGAGGTAAAAGGTAAACTTTCTTTAGCAGTACTCAGCTTACTTAGGGGGAAACTATTTATTAAATTATTTTCAGGGAGGAAATATGAATGTACTACTCAGGCCAGGCTTCCTACCTGTACCAGATAGGCGGGGTACAAATAGAATAAGTAAGTAAGTAAGTAAGTAAGTAAGTAAGTAAGTAAGTAAGTAAGTAAGTAAGTAAGTAAGTCAAGGGTGCTGTGTATCAAAAAGGTTTGGGAAACACTGAGCTTTACTAGTTATGCTGGCATAGCGCAAACAATATAACTTTTGTGGGCAAATTGCCCCAGTTAGGAAATCACCATAGACATTATCAACTGCATATTGAGCTGTATGACTCAGAATGCAGCTGATTATATCTACGGTGATTTCTTAAATTTGCCCCCCCCCCAAAAAAAAATGGCATTTGCATAGCTAAGCAGGAGGATTTGGGCCTTGAATTATTGGTGAACAACATTATGAAAAAGAGAAGATCAGCTTACCTTGGATATATAGATGTTTTTCACTTATTTTGCAATGAGCATAGACTGGGACAAGTACTTCTAAGCAGCAGGTATAAGTATCACTGTGCCTGCTGTTTAAATTTCTGAGTACAAATGATATTGAATCATTGGAATGCACTGGATCACAAAATTCATTGCATGTGACTCGCTTTACATCATTATCTATGTAGAGAACACAGATTTCGCTCTGCCCCTTAAACAGCTTCATACGGAAACTTTCCACCACATCAGGCAAAGGGCAGTTAAAAGTGAAGATGTCTTTTGGAAATTCGTCCATATCCTGAAGAAGGGAGGCAGTGCCTGGAGAAACAGGATGCAATGAGCATCAAGGACAAATAAATGGGACCCCAAATGAAAATGCAGCAGCTTTCCCACACACACACACTTTCCTTTTTAGGAAGAGAGCATTGAAGGAAAACAGGAACAAGAGAGAGAAAGAACAAGGGGACATATAGATTCCCAGCTCCTGATGGTTTGTCTAGTCTTCCAATTACTCTGTGACATGTGACATACCAGAAGCAGCAAGGAACACTGGTGCCATTGATCAGTTAAGTAATCACTAAGCACCTCCTATTGCTTAATCAGCAGTACTTGTAGGGTTGGATCCGGATTTTGACATGGGCAATTGGGCTGCCAGAAAGGGGGTTCCCTGACCCCTCTTCCCTGTCACAGCTTCTCTAAATCCCTGGAAAAAACTGAGCAGAGGATGCTGAGAGCTTACATGAGGTGAACTGAGGGCCACATCAAAGTGGGTAGGTGGGAGGGAGCAGCTCCCAAAACTAAGTGGTTATTCCTAGATCCAATTTAGTTTGGACAAAATTTATTCATTTCCCCCCTAAAAATCCAAGTTTCAAGATCTTCCAAGATGTCCGTATCTTTTAGCTGCCCAGCCCCTCTGTGACACGTGAGCAAAGAAGCCCAGGGGAGTGACAGGGCTCAGTACAGTATAAAAACAGATTAAACATGTGTTGCTCAGATGTACAATCTGTAGACTGTGAACTTGCTTGTCATTATAAGTGATAATTCACACCAAAGAAATAATACCATAAAATTTAAAAATGACTGGAGCCTCAGTCCGAGCAGAAGATGTAATATTCACTTGGGCAGATTGGTTTTGGCTATTCAGTCCCAAAATACATTAACTGCAACCCAGAAAAGAGGGAGGCAAACTGAAATTAGACTTAAAGGAGCACAAATGTGCCCTGGTGTGATCACTAGTTGCAGTTCCATGGAGATGCTGCTTAAATCTCTCATCTTAATAGTAAAGGCAAAATGTGCTGTTTATATCACTCATTTCATAGCATAGTTTGTTTTGATGTGCAGTCGTTAACAAGGGTGTGGAACAAATGTACCTTTAGCTGAAACACTGCAGAGTGGAACATATGAATCGTTGCAGACACCTAAAATGACAATAAAAACAACAAATAAAATAACTACAATAATAAATGTCATTTACAACATTTTCCAGATTTTTTAAAACTTAGAAGCGCTCCAGCACCTCATCAATGCATTTAGTGATGGTGAGTGACCCAAACCTTGTGCAAAGACCAATGAGATTCTGGCCAATATTACTTACCTGCTAGTGGATGTGTGGAGGTATCAGTGATTGTTCTGATCAAACTGGTTAAATGAAAAGCTCTCTCTCTCTCTCTCTCTCTCTCTCTCTCTCTCTCTCTCTGTTAAACATCTACTTTCAAAAAATTTACAGTGGAACAAGAGTCTCTCTTGGGAGACAGCAGGGTCTCATTTGCTGGATTTGTTTAAAAACAAAGATTTATTTATTTAAAATATTTTTACCGCACCTTTCTCCTAAAAAACGAACCCAGGTGGCTTACATCGTTAAAACACGATATTAAAAGCTTAAAAAGTAAATTATTCAAGTATTAACGAAGAATTAATTACATTATATTAAAAATGTTAAGTAAAAGCATTGTGATAAACATATTTCGAAGCAACAAAATAGAAACCAGACTCTTTATTCTGTCCTAGACAGTCAGTCACTAAGGAAAACCTGCCTGAAGAGAAAGTAAGGTTTGCCTGCATGTGGAAGGACAGCAAAAATGGGGGTATCCTGGAATCCTGTGGGAGGGAGTTCCAGAGTCTGAGAGCAGCAAGACAGAAGGTTCTCTCTCATGTCCTCACCAAACACACCTGTTAGAGATGCATTAGCTGTGGAATTCCAACTTCAGGAAGAGGTTGGACTTGGTGACCCTTGGGGTCTCTTCCAACTCTACACTTCTAAAATTCTCGTGTAACAATGACATTGCAAAGGAGTAAGTTATTAAAATAAATAAATATTATTCTATGTATTGGAGAAACGATATAGAACTACAATAACTACTTAAGAGCCACTAAACATGTTTAAGAAAAGATACTGAGATGGCAAGTGTGAATTATATCCCAGATGGTAACCTGCAAAGGCATATAAGACAATGTAGCTGATACATTTTTAATCTTAGTAATAATTTGGCTCAATTAATCAATCATGTTTTGGCCTAATCTGAAAACACAATTTTAGAGTGCCAGGTTTTGTAATAAAATATCTATTGTTCCGAATAATGTGGAAAATAACGTTTTTATAACATTATACAAAGATAAGCAATGCTATATATTAATGCAGAAAATAATGTTTTTATATTATATAAAGATAAGCCATGCTATACATTGAGGGTGGGTTAGATTCACATGAAGCAGGAGCAAACAATGGAGGAAAAAACATCAATAATTTAACGTATGAAGATGATCCCATATTACCAGCAGAAAATAGCAATGATTTGAAATAACAGTTGGTGAAAGTTAAGCAAAAAAATGCGTAAATAGGATTACAGTCAAATATTGATAAGAGAAAAAGAATGACCTGAGAAGAAATACACAAATCAAAGTTACTAAAGATTTTCTGTACCTCTGTTTAGTTATCACTCCAAATGGAGACTGCAGCCAAGGAATTAGGAAAACACAGAGATTTGGAAGGAGAGCTATGAAGGAACTAGAAAAGGTCCTCAAATGTAAGAATGTGTTGCTGGTGACCAAGCCGAAAATAGCCGTACTTGCAGTTATTGCGTATGGATGTGAAATCTTAATAACAGATTGGAGGGGAGCTTTATGAAAGTCTTTATGAAAGACCAATACAAGAATGCAAGAATTAAGATCAGGTCAAGTCTGAACTCTCCGTCAAAACTAAAATTACTGAACTGAGACTATCCATACTCCAGGCATATTATGAGATTGAAGTGGGAAAGCTAGGAAAAGTGGACAGAAGAAGGAAAAGAAGAAGTCAGAACATGAGATGGATGGACACAGTGAAGGCACCACAGCCTTTAGTTTGCAAGACCTGAGCAAAGCTGTTAGTGATGAGATTTCTTGGAGGTCATAAATTCATAAAGTTATAATAAAGCAGAAGCCACCTGATGGCATGTAACAATTACAGGATGTCACCTATTCAATTTTAGCATTTGAAAAGCGAACAAAACATCCTAGTTTTGCCTCAGAAACTCAGGAAAAATATGTCCTCGTAGAAACTCCATTTTTCCCCTCATGGCTAGACAAGTGCAGCTCACAATAAATGATTCCCATTTAAAATCGCCAGTACTGGGAGCTTAGATGCCACTTTTTGATTTAAGCTTTCAGAAACACTGTTCCTCTGGCAAACATCCCTTGCAGAAATGTACATTTTTCAAACCAAGAAGCAAAAACAAATTGCTGCCAGCAAAGTCTGGGATATAACTTACCATTCGGGGTTACAAAATGGAAGCACAAAAGGAAGAAAGGCACAATTGCTAGCTTCATATTACTTCAAAAGAGAGCACTAACCCTAATCTTTCATGCTCTCATGGGGAAGGGGTGCGTTGCAATCTGACGAAGTGTTGCTGCTTCTCTAGCTTTTGAATTGTCAGTAGTGAGGAAAGCAATTTCACTCTTTCTGAGTCACCCTGAGTTTCTGTTAAAGGAAGTCTTCCTCATTTGTTCACTGCCCCTCACAGAAATAGAGATACGTCAGATCAAAAGGCGTTCTCTAACTAAGGTGTGTGGCTCAGTTTCCCTTTGTGCATTTTCCGATAAATGTGATGAGACAGCAGTGCTCTTCTACTAGCAGATTAGCTGTGAACTTGAACCACCAACTGAACATTGACTGGAAAAGCAACTTTATCACACTGATGAAGGCATTTGTTCTTCAAATCTTTGCCTCATTTATTCTTGGCAACAGTCTTGTGGTTACTATGATCTGACAGTGTAGATGGAAAGCAGAGATGGAAAAAGCATAACAGACAAGGACGGGAGGGAGCAGTTCATCTCATTTACCTATCAGCAAAAAAGAGAGGCATGGTTCACCAGAAGACGCTACTAATATGCACAAAACTGTGCATGCAAATGTGTATCTTATGAATTACAAACATTCTAGAGGTCACCTGAGTGAGAAAGACTGGGACCACATGGGTTGCTGGGTCTACTCTGCAGGTGGTGCCCACTGTAGATGGGGAACATCCTTCCTCATCACTTTTTTAAAAAAATTATTTATTTTTTAAAACAATACAAAACAACACAATAATCTAATAACCACAAAGAATACAAAACTTAGGGGGGAAAAGTATACACAAAACCGAAAACAACTTTAGCCTATTTAATTACACAACAGTTCACCCCTCCGCCAGGACCATTCAGATATATATTGGATCAGAGATATATTGGATCAATTATTCCAATTACAAAGCCCCAATCACCTCCTAAAATTGTGTTGATTCTTTCAGATACATAACCCTTCCCTTTTATTAATACACAATCAGTGAAAGCTCCACAAATCTCACTAAAAATATTCTTGTTTATCCAACTCATATAAAGCTTAATGTCACAAGTTAGAATATTAATGACTATATTCCGTATTTCTTCGTACCAAACATTGAATTGAAATTCATGCTTAATTTCAAATACTTTGTTACGATTAATCTTGCTGCTATTATTAAATTTGTTTCCAAATTGTTCACTACTTAAATATTGATACCTCTGCATTTAACTTCAATATTTCATTCATTTGTTTAAATGAACGAAACCTCCAACATTTCAAGACATTCTTACATTCTCCACCACATACAGAAATAAGGACCTACATCCTGACCACATCCCCAGGAGAAGTTCAAATATTTGTCATCCATACAATTCAATTTCATAGGTGCTGAATACTATTTCCAAATGAATTTTCAAAAAATCTCATTTCTTTTTCTTTCTTTCTTTCTTTCTTTCTTTCTTTCTTTCTTTCTTTCTTTCTTTCTTTCTTTCTTTCTTTCTTTCTTTCTTTCTCCTTAAAAAGGACCCAAGGTGGTTTACAGAATTAAAAGATAACATTTAAAGCTAATAACAGCAAGTATACAAATATCAGAAAAGGCCAAATACCACATTACAACATGGTAAACAAAAACAATACCCAAAACACATTCAAAGTATAATGGACAACATTCCACTTAACAACCCCACACAGGCTGGCCATCACTCATATACACTTTAATATTCTTCTATCCCATATCCTGTACTTATTTCCCTTCCCAAATCCATTTCCCACAATGCTTTAAGAGTGTCATGTTGGTTCTCCACTTCTATTAACATCTTATAAATCTTACTTGTTATCCATCACAACACCATATGATCTTCTTTACTATCTCGACAAATTTTGTAAGATCCCTACAATTCCCATCTTTTCACCCATTCTCTTCTAGGCCATTGTTTAAGTGGATCAGATCAAACCAACATAATTTCCCCCTTCTAATACTACCCTTGAGAAATCTAGACAGCATCTTAAAAAGCAGAGACATCACCTTGCCAACAAAGGGCCGCATAGTCAAAGCTATGGTTTTTCCAGTAGCGCTGTATGGAAGTGAGAGATGGACCATAAAGAAGGCTGGCCGCTGAAGAATTGATGCTTTTGAATTGTGGTGCTGGAGGAGACTCTTGAGAGTCCCCTGGACTCCAAAGAGAACAAACCTATCCATTATGAAGGAAATCAACCCTGAGTGCTCACTGGAAGGACTGATCCTGAAGTTGAGGCTCCAGTGCTTTGGCCATCTCATGAGAAGAGAAGACTCCCTGGAAAAGACCCTGATGTTGGGAAAATGTGAAGGCAAGAGGAGAAGGGGATGACAGAGGATGAGATGGTTGGACAGTATCATCGAAGTGACCAACATGAATTTGACCCAACTCTGGGAGGCAGTGGAAGACAGGAGGGTCTGGCATGCTCTGGGCCATGGGGACACAAAGAGTTAGACACAACTTAACGACTAAACAACAACAACAAAACACTACCCTTGTTTGCTCCAGTTGAATGGCTCTCCTCCATTCAGTTTAGCCTCTCTCTGAAAATTGGTTGTGCCATTGTTTAAGTTTTTAAACTATGTTTTTCTCTTTATGATGTATTTATTTTTGTGTAGTTTGTTTTAACTGTCTGTAAACCACCCAGAATTGTACTTCAGCACTAACGGGGGTGTATATAAATAAAAGTAGTAAATGAATACATTTTTCTTCTTCTTCAACCATTCTTTTAATATGTTAACTTGTTTCTTTAATATTTTTCCCAAAATCTCTTTTAACTTTCTTGGAAATTTCTCCAATTCAACTACAGGGTATAGTAGGGAGATGGATGGAATAAATATTTTCCTAAACTTATCCGACATTTGCAGCATATTCCTAAAGAGTTTTCTATCCTTTTTATAAGAGTCTTGTTTTGTTTTTTGTTTTTTTAAAAAAACTTTAAAAATAACCCAAACATCTTGACATTCTCACTTTGCCCATAATAAATTATCCGACTGAGATGTAATATAACATCCAGCATATTGTATATCATATTTGATTCACTATATAATATAACCTTACATTAGGAAGACCTAATCCTTCTAAGTTTTATAACATATACTAGCTTTTTCATTAATCCTCACTTTTTATCACCATTATGAAATTTATTAATCATCTTGTGCCATTCTTTCAGTTTTTCTTCTTTTATCTCAGTTGGTATCATGAATAAATAATAATAATAATTTCAGGTAAAATCTTCGTTTTACATCATACTGTTATTCTACCAAACACAATAAATCAATCTTTCTAAAATCATTCAGTTTATCCTTAATTTCTTGCTTTAATTTGTCAAAAATTTGCTTTTTTAAAAGTTGGCTCTTTTGGGGTAATATTTAGACCTAATTAATAATGCTACTCATTTTAACCCCAGGTATGGCCCTAATCTTCTCCATCTCCTCTTTATCACAATTAAACCCCATCTCTGATTCATGTCAGTTTATTTGTAATCCTGTTACTTCTGCAAACTCTTTTAAATGTGATTTCATGCAATCCACCTTTACTTATCTTCTTATTGTTTTTTTAATTACACTTTTAAAATTACATTATGTTGGAAAGCCCTAAAGCCCTTTCAGTATAAACTAACTTTTAAAAGAGGGCTCCATTTACAACAAGCTTGGCCTTCTCAACATTCCTTTAATCTCCACTAGAAATGGGAGTATTCATATTCATCCATGCAGCTGGACCTAATGAGGGCACTACAGGGGATTTTCCTGTTTTTAGAACCCTCTGTATCCCTGGGACCCCTACCCCCCTTTTTAAAAAACTTTCCACAAAAGAGAACAAAGGTGGCTTTTTCCATTTTAAAAATGCATTTTAAAAATTGAGGTGGCAGTCACAAGAGTTGTCGAGCCCTTCTAAGTTTCAAGGATGGGTGTGTGTGGCCCTGGACCCGTACAGCTCACCCACTCCCATTCCACAATAAAGTGATTTCTCCACATCAGTTGGGGACACTGCACAACCCTTCCTCCTTGGTGTAGCATAGCCAGGGCTCGCAGGGTCAAAGCCCTGAGACTTTATGAGTAGCAGGGACTATGGCATCGGCCACGGCACAGGCCTCCCATTTCCCTTTGGCCAGAGGTGCAACCCTCACAATAGCTGGGAAAGAAATGGATTTTCCCTAGAGCTGTAAAATGTTGTAGCTTGTCCCAGCTGTAATGCCAAGTATGTGCGCTTAGGTTATTCTTCAGTGAGCAACTCAGAACCATTAAGGTTTCAAAACACCTGCTCCTTGTTTTGTTCATGTGGACTAGTCCACTTGGCTGCATTTGTGGACTCTTTGTGGGAGGGGTCTGTATATGAGGACTGTTACAATGGGCACCTGCATTTCCTATTTTACCATGACACCACTGTTCTGCACTTTGGAAGAGAGGGGCTGAGAACATTTAGGGCATTCAAAAAGTCCTGATGGCAGTCCTCAGTTGAGACAATTCAGAGCTTCCGAGACACACAAAGGGAAGACTTGTTATTCTAATCACCAGACTCAATACGTCACAACTATTTTCTTCTGTCACCTAACCTGGTTAACAAGTGTGCTTATTAATCTTTTCAGTATGTAAAGTCATCCTTTCCAGTCTTCCTGTTTTTCATTCTCAGACTCCTTCCTTATGATTTTTCCACTGCTCATCTGCATGTTAATCACACACTTCTTGCTTCTTTCATTTCTCAGTGTCATTTGACACTCATTTTTTAAAGTCTACAGATGTTTACATTCTTTTGTCCTTTTTTAAAAACTGACACACAAGAAACAACACAATATGAAGTTGGAGATGGGGGGGGGAGACCCTGTCAGAAACCTAGATGCTGATTTTAACCCCTATCTACACTTCAAATATCCCAGCAATGTCAGCCACAAAATCAGGAGTTTGTTTACTAGTTCATCCTGCAGTGTGATTTCGGCCATCTTGTGCCAACAGTGACCCTCTCAATTCTACACATAACAAACAGGTCAATATTTGTGCATAAATTTGGACATAAATCAGACCTCAGGAATGGCAACAGAGAGAAACCAGTGTCAGAACACTTCAACCTCCCAAGATATTATGCTGTAGATCCCAAAGTGATGATTGTAGGGGGGGAAACGAGTATAAAGGAAGACTCAAAGGGAGAAAGTGGGAACTGACAATGTAAACAAGTTCCAGTGCATCTCTAAGAGTCTCAACAGAGAGCAAGGCTTCTTATATTAATAACCCACTTTTATCTTTAAAAACAATTGCTACTTCTCTCTGCATTCTTTATGGTTAGGCGGTTAGTTGGGTTGATGTGACAGCTGATACAAAGGATCACAGTGGAGATGGGCACAAACTGACAATTTGCTGGTTCATGCCCGTTCATTTATCAAACAAACAGGTGTTTGGTGCTTCAAAGCCCCACCTCCTCCAGTGGGCACCCACTTGGAGGCAGCAGCCTAGCTTTCTCGCCCCACCTTCTGAGTGGGTGCCCATCAGAGAAGGCAGGGTTTGAGGTCCTGGGCACCTGTTCAGCAGATAAGTGAACCAGCATGAACCACCAAACCAGCAACACCTGTTCAGCAGATACGTAAGTGAACCAGCATGAACCACCAAACCGGCAGATCATGCCCATCTCTAGATCACAGTATTCTCCAAAAGAAAAGAGAGGGAAATGTTTTAAAAGGGCACCAGTATTTTCCTTAGAAGCTTGAACAGAAAATTGATATGAGCACAAAATAAAAGACCTGGCTTGAAATATATACATTTATAGGCCTCGTTGCAGGAGAGCATGCATGGATGAATATGGAAACCACCTGCTTAGAATTTGATGAGGACAACTGTGAACGAAGGATAAGTTGTTTTGCTGCAACCTGGGAGGTCCATTGTGCCATTCACAGCAAGACAGGGAATGACACATCAATATTGGGAGTCAGAGCCTCCCTGCTGTACCAGTCTAGAAGTAGCAACATAGGGCCTTGGTAGGAAGAGAACGCCCCCAAGGGCTGGCAGTGAACCTCCTACAAGGTTTATGCAGGAGCACGTAGTGTGCAATGAGAGATGTGAGGCTGCTCTAGATCCTGCCAACAACATCAACAGATGCCAGGAAGCCACAACCTCCTCTGATCATGAGCAGGTGGCTCAGGAGGACATGACTGGTGAAACAGGAAACAGAGTTATCTGGGTGCCTGTTGTTCTCTGCTGAGTCTACCACAGCGATGGGCATCTCTGACTGTCCCGACTTCTTTGGCCTACAACTCATGTCAACATAGCCAATGGTGAGCTATTATGAGAGGTACAATTCAAAAATATAAGGCCAATGTTGCCCTCTCCTGCTCTTCTAGCTGAACTAGCACTTTCCTATCTTTTGATCTGCCTGAATCTTTCCCTTCTTATACCCTTCCTTCAGACAAACTATTCTGTGTAGGCCCAACCCAGGCAATGCCATTAGCATATCATCAGAAGTGGAACTTCCCAAAGTAATATATTTTTTAAAAAGTCTCCTTGTCCTAGCTCAAAATGACTTCACTCCATGTTTTGGAAAACTAGCTTCTTTTGTGATCAATTGTCAGAAAGTAAACAGCAGGTTCCTTTGCACACCTAACTGTGCTTGGAAGAAATGGCATGGCTGGAGGAGGAACATTTGTAATGTCAGAAAATATACATGCCTCCTTATTGTGTGCTTTGACCCATAGACACTCGTAATTAACATTTCAGGGGACCTTTGCTCCACCCAGTCTTCCTTGGGGCTGCAATTCAGCTCAGCCCATGCCGTGTGGCCTGGGAACCAACATTGTCACACCTCTCTTGCCTGGATCACTTTCTCAGAAGGTCACTGAGGTGATTGTCTAATATGTTTGAGACTGGGAGGAAATATATTTGTTGTGTCTTTGGTTTACAAGGTGGCTTTCTGTTCTCCACCACCATCATCATTCTTCTTTATCACATACTGTACACGGACATAAATTATTTGCAATCACTCGGCTGTTTTACCCAGAAACGTAAGCTCTCTGTTAAGACAGCTTCTTTCCTTTTCCCCTTTTGCAGAGGCTCCAATTTCTTTTCTTGCCCGGTGGGGCTCACCTCGTAATGTTCTCTCCATCACCAAGCTAATGGAAGCAATCAGGATGTCACCCTGGCCTAGTGCCAGACGAAAGGCTTCTCTCAAGGAATGATAAGATCAGGTGTTTTCCTTTGAGGGAAATGTTCGTCTCCACACTCCTTCACTCAGGTAAGGCTGGAAATAGAACTCAATCTAAAAATAATGCTTTCCATCTGTTTTACAGGCTGTAAACACACACACACACACACACACACACACACACACACACACAATTGGGGAGGGTCAAAGGAAATTAAGTTGTACAGTTGTATCTTGATTACCTACTTGGCTGGCAACTGTTGTTAAAACACAAGCATGTGAGTCCCATTGTGGTACAGTGGGAAGTTATACTCAGAGATGAGAGAAGTTACTTTTTTGGACTATGCAGACCTGGGTTCAAAACCCTGCTGAGCTCCCTGGGTAACTTTGGAACAACCGCTGTCTCTCAACCCAGCCAACTTCACAGGGTTGTTCTGAGGGGAAGTTGAGTGGGGGGAAGATGTAGGGTACCTTGAACTCCCTGAATGAAAAGTGACACACAAATGTAGTAAATAAACAATAATCAGCATGCTGAATTTAATTAGGGAACTCTCAGTCTTCAGGAGAACACAGACTTTGCTGCTGACATAGTCTCCATCAGGCTCAGCTACTGCACGGGGCTTTCTCTGAAGGTAAAATTAAGGGCAGTGACAATCTGAATTCTCTTGCCGCTACTGCCTCCAGCTTTGCAGATGCAGATGGGACTAAAGTGAAACTCACATAGTTCTCTTGCCGCTGCTGCCTCCAGCTTTGCAGATGGGACTAAAGTGAAACTCACATATGGCACTTCCACTGCCTCCTCCTCTGCCATCACCACCCAGCCTCACCTTCCTTGTTGGCTCTGCCAGCAGCTTCTCCTCAGCATTGTCATTGTCATGTCACCTAACCTAACGGTAGGGCCAACCTTGACTAAGGGGTACTGTATGTTCTAGCTTGAACTCATGGGAAGAAGGACAGGAGAAGTTAGTAATTACATTGTTTCGGTAAATTAATAAAATTTGTTAATTAGTGAACGTTAAACACAAGGAAGACTACAAAAGGGTAGGCCTGTGTCTTTCCCACGGATTCCTTCGGTGAAATCTTTCTCAAACCCAGATGCTTCCTCTTTTCTCTTTTCAGAGCAAGCAGCGGCTGAGTGCCTTCAGACTTCATTCCCTCAGGCAAACATACCCCTCTTCAGCTTTGCGGTTCTTATGGTGACAGCTGTGTCATTGGGAGGATTTACAGAAGACCCCCCCTCCTACCTCTTCTCCTAAGGGCTGTCACATCTAAGGCAGCTGAGCTCTTTCCAGGAAATGCGAATATGCTCCCCAGCTTTCCAGGAAGAGAGCCAGATCCCAAGGCAAACCACACTACAGGAAGAGAAACTTCCAGTTTTTGTGGGGGGAAGTAGCTTTAAAGCTTTCCAGCAAAGTGCTGGGGCTTACTGGTTCGGAGCCAATGTGCTGTGTGAATGCTCCAAGCAACAATGGCACGCCACAGTGGTACATGGTACACCAAACAAGCAGAGGACAAGCGAGACGGGGAATGACATGCCAAGATTGGGAGTCAGAGCCTCCCTGCTGTACCAGTCTAGAAGCAGCGACACGGCCTGGGCAAGAAGAAGGCACCCCAATGGCTGCAAGTGAACCTCCTACAAGACCCAGCAGCACTGTAGGCCTTGGGAAACCACCCCATGTGTCATGTGTGCTGTAGGTCTGAGCGCGTAGGATGAAAAGTGCAGCAAGCACGGCAGCAAGCCCTGCAGCTACGGGACACATCCTGCCACTTATCAGGCCCTGATTTTTCCCTCTGACGCTTGGTTATGCTATTAGCAAAGTTTTATTCGGATTATGGTTCCATCCACTTGAGACCCATTATACCTGTTTCCACAATCAGCAGGCCAAAAGTCCTTCCTCCCATTTTTTGCCTGTCCTGCTTCTGTGACATCACAGATTTCCACCTCCTGTTCTTAGGTTTTGGCCTCAAATCTCAAGGAAAAGGAACCAGACATCTTCTACCTGGCGTGCTCCTATTGGGTCTCATGTCCACAGAAACCAACAGGTTTATTCTGCTCACCATTCGATGAGCATTTTAATACAGGAGACTGCAGAGTTAGGGTTATTTGTTGCTGGTTATTTGTTTCGCAGCTGCACCCTAAGGAATAAGCTAAGGGTCTGTCATATTCCAGGGACATAGAACCTGCTGGCGTTTGATCCCATGCCCTTCGGCCCAAGCCAGCCAGGCCGTGGGTCAGGAGTGATAGGAGATGAAGTTCAAGAATTACCTGGAGAAGGCCCACAAGTTCTCCACTCTTGCCATCATCCGAACAGGAAAGAATGGGAGAAGGGGAATGAGGGAGCAGCTGTCCCCACAAATGGCAATCAAGTGTTTAGTTCACTCTGTATTGTGTCTCTTGCAGGTTAGCCATATCCTGGCAACACTATATGCATTATACGCTTGATTAATGTGGGATCAAGGGGTCTGTAATGGAACAGTCTGGTCTCCCATCCAACACTTGCCTGGTGTAATTTAATCTCACTAGCTTTGGCTTTGGTTAGTTCTGTTCTCTGTGTTTGTGGTCACATGGATACAGAGAGACCCCAGAATGAAACCAGAAGTGGCTTCAAATCCACATCTTGTGATTTTTTGTTTGTTTGTTTGTTTGTGGGGAGGAAAGCAGGCACACATCATCCCTGACATCAAAGGGGAAATCGTCCACCTTAGAAGCTTCTAGAGGAAAGGAGGCACACATCATCCCTGACATCAATGGGGAAATCGTCCACCTTAGAAGCTTCTAGAAGCAGCAATTTTCTCTCTTAGGCTAAGGCTGCTTGTTGTTATTTTTCCCCAGCCACAGAAGGAGAGAGACCAGAGAAGACACCCCCCTGGAACCACAAAACGTGAAGAAAGCTCATATTTTTCACTTCTGCATTAAGCCATGGGGTACCCAGTGTGGTGTAGTGGATAGCTGGAACCCCAAAAAGTGAAGAAAACTCATATTTTTCACTTCTGCATTAAGCCGTGAGGTACCCAGTGTGGTGTAAGGGATAGAGCAATGGACTCAGGAGGCCTGGGTTCAATTCCACAGCTCTTCTAAGGAAACTCAATGGAAGATGGAACTGGTAAAACCATTCCTTCAATACCTCCCTTACCTTGAAAACCCTTTTGGGGTTTCTATAAGTCATTTCTGACTTGATGACACATAATAACAATCAAGCCATACCAGGCAAATAGGAGCAGAGAAAACAGTATCTTCGTAATGCATTCAGTCAGCGGTGTAGGGAGACCCGAGATTCACAAAGTCAAATCCATGGGACTGTCCGACTGGCAAGGAGCACAACATCATATGCCATCACCCCACCTTCACCACCCCAGGCTTCCCTGCTTCCTCTGAGTGTAGCTGCAATCCTCACAGTATTACTTGATAGGAGAGAAATGGATTTTTGTGGGAAGGATATTTTGTCACTAGCCATCCCTGTTGTAATACAAACTGTGTGTGATTAGCCTTGACTAGGAAATCAGGAGCCATTCGCTTTACAAAATACCTGCTCCTCAATTTTTGATATGAATTGATGTAGCTTACCTGCATTTTGGACTCTCCTGGGTGGGTTGACTGTGTGAATTGTTACCATGAGCTCCTGCACTTCCAAATATGCCACTGTATTCAGGATACCACAGTAATATTTCTGACATCTAAGCTGGTCCTATAGAAGTAAAAAATGTTAAGGGGAGCAGGAAACCTCACATCCTTCCTCTATGCCATTATTTCTGGCAGAATCACTGCCCCAAAGTAAGAAAGAGGGAGGGAAGCAGACCAAAAGGTGGTTGTATGGAGAGAAAGTGATGGACACTCAAAAAGATGCCATTGTTAATTATGTCATTATTAATTATGTAAGAATCTGTTGGTGGGAGTAGAAGGGAGATTCTAATGTTTAAAGTTCATGGACATTTGAATTATTGAGATTCATTTCTTGATCAAAGACATCACAAAGCTTGGCAAAAGAAAATGTGTTTTAATATCTACCAAAAATGTGGCCTACAGTTCGAAAGCTCCACGTTTCCTGAGATTTCAGGGTAAAAAGCTGAGGCCACACTTGTGAACCGTGTATGTTTGTGTGTGTGCATGCAAAATTGCAAAGGTAAGGAGAAGAGAATAGTGCATATCTCATGCACTTCTTCCTAAACCAGTAAGATGTACATTAGAGAAATGATAAGAGGGTCCAGCCTTTTAGTTACTATGGGCTTAATATGGCCAATACTACTAAATATACACTCGTTTTAGCATGCCCAAAGAGCCGTGTAAGCGTGTTGCCATTGGAAGGGCTATTGAAAGCGGCAGTCCAACATCACATGGAGAGTCACATGTTCCTCATCCTTGGCTTATAACCATACCAATCATAGCCCATGCCTTTTGTGGAGGCACGTTTTGCTGTTGTTGTTGTTTAGTCATTAAGTCATGTCTGACTTTTCATGACCCCATGGACCAGAGCACGCCAGGCCCTCCTGTCTTCCACTGCCTCCCGGAGTTGGGTCAAATTTATGTTGGTCACTTCTATGACACTGTCCAACTATTTCATCCTCTGTTGTCCCCTTCTCCTCTTGCCTTCACACTTTCCCAACATCAGGGTCTTTTCCAGGGAGTCTTCTCTTCTCATGAGATGGCCATAGTATTGGAGCCTCAGCTTCAGAATCTGTCCTTCCAGTGAGCACTCAGGGTTGATTTCCTTCAGAATGGGTAGGTTTGTTCTCCTTGCAGTCCAGGGGACTCTCAAGAGCCTCCTCCAGCACCATAATTCAAAAGCATCAATTCTTCGGTGGTCAGCCTTTTTTATGGTCCAGCTCTCACTTCCATACATCGCTACTGGAAAAACCATAGCTTTGACTATGTGAACTTTTGTCAGCAAGGTGATGTCTCTGCGTTTTGTGATGCTGTCTAGGATTCTCATCGCTTTCCTCCCAAGAAGCAAGCGTCTTTTAATTTTGCGGCTGCTGTCACCATTTGCAGTGATCATGGAGACCAAGAAAGTAAAATCTGTCACTGCCTCCATATCTTCCCCTTCTATTTGCCAGGAGGTGATGGGACCAGTGGCCATGATCTTAGTTGTTGTTGTTTTTTCATGTTGGGCTTCAGACCATTTTTGGCACCCTCATTAAGAGATTCTTTAATTCCTCCTCACTTTGTCGGCAAGGTGATGTCTCTGCTTTTTATGATGTATTCTGCATATAAGTTAAATGAGCGGGGGGGGGGGCACAGCCTTGTCGTACTCCTTTCACACTTTTGAACCAATCAGTTGCTCCATGTCCAGTTCTAACTGTTGCTTCCTGTCCCACATATAGATTTCTCAGGAGATAGATAAGGTGGTGAGGCACTCCATTTCTTTAAGGACTTGCCATAGTTTGCTGTGGTCCACACAGTCAAAGGTTTTTGTATAGTCAATGAAGCAGAAGCAGATGTTTTTCTGGAACTCTCTGACTTTCTCCATAATCCAGCGCATGTTTGCAATTTGGTCTCTAGTTCCTCTGCCCCTTCGAAATCCAGCTTGTACTTCTGGGAGTTCTCGGTCCACATACTGCTGAAGCCTGCCTTGGAGGATTTTGAACATAACCTTGCTAGCGTGGGAAATTGTGTGTAATTGTACATGAGTTGGAGCATTCTTTGGCACTGCCCTTCTTTGGCACTGGGATGTAGACTGATCTTTTCCAGTCCTCTGGCCACTGTTGAGTTTTCCAAACTTGCTGGCATATTGAATGTAGCACCTTAACAGCATCATTTTTTAAGATTTTAAATAGTTCAACTGGAATGCCATCACTTCCACTGGCCTTGTTGTTAGCCATGCTTTCTAAGGCTCACTTGAAAATTGGCAAGTTAGTCAGTTCAAAAAATGTCAGTCCCAGCATGTTGTAGTTTTGGAAAGGAAAAGAATTAAGACTATCGCTTCCTCCATCAGTTCTGTGAATGCAAATAGGTAGCTGAAGGAAGTTAACTGCTACGTGATCTCCCTTCACATAGCTTCAAAGTGCCTCCTTAATTTTTTTCAAGATCTCTCCCTAGTTACAGAATCTTGTTTTCTGGTGCCCCCTAGGGGCTGGAATTCTGAACAATTTTGAGTTTTATCCAAAGAACTCTATCCTGTTAATTCTTTTTAAAGTGCAAATTTGAAGCCTGCTCATAGAAAACGTTGGGTGGGTGTATGTGTCACCCCAAAAGTTCATGGAGCACCTCACTAATTCCAGTCATGAGGTGCAGATTTTCCTGTACCATGTGCATGTTGCTGGAATGCTTACTTTAGTTAGACGTGCTTGAGTGGACAGAGATATAGCATTATCCATGGGCCACTTATTTTAATACAGTAAGCACAAGGAAGGGAACAGTTGTACATTTAGCCTTGTCCTCCAGGGTCTCACTGATTTTCTCACAATATACAAAAGGAAAGGGCTCTGTATGATGGATAAAGGGAGTGAGGACCACAATGATCTGTAGAAAGACAAGAACAAAATCAAAATTGCAACTACTAAGAAATTTCTGATTGTAAGATTATAACAATCATTAATTATTATAAGAACCTCTATTAGCATTATTGTAGAGATATTTAAATTATAAATGACCATTAATAATTGGCCACAATTGGAAATTGGTGGAGAACAGCTACTAGACAATCTAGTAGACCAGACACAAAACCTCTAGAACTAGAAAACAGAAATTCCAGGCTTTGGTGCCATTTTGAAAACTTCATCAGTTGTAAAAACAACTCCAGTCCTCAAAATGCTTTTTCATAAACTGCTCAAACACCCCCCTCCTCAAAATTACATAAATAATAAAGATTAGCAGAATTACTATATACACTACAGACAAAGCAAAAGGCAACAAAAGGCTCAAACCTGTGAACAGGTCTAAACAATAACATGGAATGTTTGTTTGGCAGCTGCCATAAACTTCCATGCAACAATGGTTGATAAACAGCTGCTTTTGCTACAGATTTGTGCAAACTTTAAAAGATAATATGCAAACAACACCACAGAGCAAACCTTTGTTTAAAGTGGAAGAAAAAGAAATTAAATAACAGTGAAGAACTAGATAAATGTCCATTCTCATGAGGTATGGTGGAACATCCTATGTTATCGTGGCAGAGATTATTAAATGGGAATTGACAAAGCAAATCTCTTAATTAAACCTAGTACATGTCATGTATCTCAAAGGGCTGTCTTTTCAATAAAATCAAAGAAACACATTATAGACTAGAGATGGGTATGAAGCACTTCGTGCTGTGTCATCTAAGTCATCAGCACGGTACCACAGGTGCCATGCATTCACTTTCTCCACCCTACCCCTCCGGCCAGCTCCTCTAGTGATCTGCTGGTGCACTGCTCTTTCTCTCCCCAACGCGTGATTGTCCATTCCATCAGGAGAATGGACTTCCTTTCTTTGCCTCCTCCAGCAGCTGCCCACTTGCAGACAGAACTGCAAGAATTTCTGCTCCACCTCCTTGTCTGAGGGGGCAGAGAAGGGAAGTCCATGCTCCTACTGGAATGGAAGATCATGCAATGGGGAGGGAAGGAGCAGTGCACACCAACAGGTCAGTGGGGGAGCCAACTGGGAGGGGGAAGTGAATGTGACATGGCTCAAAGTACTTCATACCCATCTCTATTATGGACTGCTTCTTATATGCTCCATGGGACAAAATTCCTGTCGGCAGACTTGCTGTTATTTTGGAAACAAATGCATCTGTGAAAAATGTAGACCATTGATATCCACAAACAGCAGTAGCTGTGCATCATATTGGCAGCAAAACTTAATATGGTGGCTAACAAAATTGATGTAATAGAAGATACAGTTGTGCCCCGCATAGCGATGTTAATCCGTTCCGGATTAATCGTCACTATCCGGAAACATCGCTATACGGATAGGAAAATCTCATAGGAATGCATTAAAATCTGTTTAATGCGTTCCTATAGGGCGAAAACTCACAGTTGAGCGAAGATCCTCCATAGCGCCGCCATTTTCGCCACCTCGGTAAGCGAGGGCAGCGCGCGAAAATGCTTGCGATGGCCATTTTGGTTACCTGGTGGCCATTTTGGAACCACCAATCAGCTGTTCTAAACATCGCAATGCGATCGCATTAGCTATTGCAAAAAATAGATCGCTATGCGGATTCATCGTTAAACAGTGCGCTCGTTATGCGAGGCACCACTGTATAGTGATACCTAGTGTGGTATAGTGGATAGAGTGACCAACTAGGACTCAGGAGGCCCTCCGTTCAAATCCCACTCAACCATGGAAGCTCACTGGGGGAGTGGAAATGGTAAAACCACTTTTTAAATGCCTCACTTACCTTGAAACTACTATTAGGGTTTCAACAGGTCAGTTGCAACTTGGCACCCCATAAGTACATGATTCAGTAGCTGTGGATGTCTGAGAAAAAACAATACAAATGATGTAAATATAACCTCTAAAAAAAATCAATGCCCATAGTTACACGTTTAATTAAGAGGAAGAACTGGGTAGCAAAAGAAAAAAATTGCTCTCTGTAATAGTATCAAGTAAACCCAATAGAAAATTGTACTGGAAGATCAACTGTGGAATAAAAATGTAGGACCTGTTTCATCACAATTCTTGTTTTGGTGGCATAGAGGCGTTTAAAGAATCAACATCCAATGTAATTAAACAAGTGGGATTCTCTACAGCAAGACCCTCACGTTGCATGAAGTTTCTGAAGTCTCCTGATGGCCAAGTCCATAATGGCAGCAAAAAGGAATCTAAATACTGTGTTAGGGGTTCAAACAAAGAACCCGCAAATCAGATGTTTCTTGAAAGGTGGAAAGAACCTTTTCCTTTTTCCTTTTCTTCCTTTTTCTTTTTCCTTTTTTGGTTTTTTGTTTGTTTGTTTTGATTTGTTTGCCTGGGATCAAAGAAGAAGCTGTCACAATATCCAGATATCCAAGAGGCAATACTTTCTGTACTACAGAAACAAAATATCTATAGTGGGATCAACGTTTAACTGTGCTAGAATTCTTCTGTTACTCCTGTTGGTAAGGTACTCTGTCTATAATTACAATCCTGCCTCTCTTGTCTGCTGATTGAATGATGCTAGAGTTCAAATTCATGAAGTCTCTGCCTTCGGGGCAGACAGAAAGGGTTTCCTGGGGCTGAGGATTTTGAGCAGGTACAAACAGCTTTTGTCAGGCAGGTTTGTGACCAGCATCTTACCGTATTCTTTAAGAAAGAGTTTCATAAGCACCTCCCTCTCCTTTGGGAATAGATACAATTTCCTCACAAATCCAGCTTGTGGGAAAGATAGAGTCTTTACACACGGAAATGGTTCTATATCACTGTTAGTTATTTCCTTTGTTCGTATATACGGCATATTTTCTTTTTAACTTCCTTTAAGTTGTTCAGTAAAGACAGATGTTCTCTTCTCAGGTTGATGTCCATGTGTTTCTACTTCCCCAAAAAATGAAAATTCCCCAGAAGGAAACAATTCAAAGTGGGGTAAATCCCCACAACAACCCTGTGAGACAGGTCAGACCAGCTGCCCACATTTGAGTGCAGAGAGGAAGGGTTAGTCTATGTTTCGAATTTATTTTCTTTGGCAGCTGTATCTTTCAATCATAGCTTTCTGCTTTAAACAAAACATTTCCCCCCGTCCTTCTCCTTGTAAAATAGAATGGCTATAACTAAAACGTTCCATTGCGGAACTGACTTTTATATTAGGGCAATGTTAGATTGCAACAGTCATCCACCCAGATAAATATGTCCTAGTCTACATTTAAGATCACTCAAAGAAATCAAAATTAAACAGGAAAAGATGACTCAGAACTCCTCTGGAAAAGTGAACCATTGAAGGATCAGAGGAAAAAGAAAGGAGAATTTTAAAAAATTATTTAGGTGGCTTTGTATTCAGTAGAAATTTCCAGGGCAGTTCACACTTTTGAAAATAGCGTGGGGGAGATCAGGGGACCAAGCCTCTCCTCTCTGGGAGATTAGTTGAGAGGGTAAAAAGGTGATATAAATGTAGCTCTGATGGGAGAAAGAACAGGGTTTTGCTAGGAAGACATTCAGAGGCTTCCCAGTTAGCCCGTAGAAAGCTTTCTGCCATGAATGTCCTGCTGACAGAATACATAGTGCAGAGAAGTTGAAAAGTTTCCTTTCCTGGACTAAACTCCATATGGGAGCGATACCTTTGTAAGACAACCCAACCAAAATAACACAAAAAAGGTGCAATCAGACAGGCATTTGTCCTGCTGTGTAGTCTGCTGCAGCGATGGGCTGGTTCATGCTTTTGCTCTAATCATGCCTCCTGCAAATCTGGACCGCCAGAGCACGGCTGCCTTAACAAGCTGGACGCAAGGCTGACTGAAAACTTCCTCCCATCTCTTTGCCAATTCCCCACTCCCTGCCGCCTTGGTCACCCAGGTGTCCTAGCACTAGGACAACAAGCCTTTAAAAGAAAAAGAAAGGAAGAGGACTGTGACAGACAGGTCAGTAAGCACTCCTGTCCATCACAATGGAACCCTGATTCAGGAGCCAATGGGTGAACAGAAGAGGTGGAACTAAGAAAATATAAGAAGAATGGATGACAGTTAAAGAGCAGTTAGAGTTCAGTTAGAGTTTGAGTTAGGTATCAGTTTGGGATATGAGTTAGAGTTAAGGACTTCAGTTAGAGATAAGCAGTTTAGGCAGTTAGGACCAGCCTTGTGTTAGAGAAGAGTAATAGAGAGATATGGAATAAGATAAGAAATGAATAAATACTTTGGATAAATACTTTGATTAAAATGATTTTACCTAAGCAAATATGTTACCAAAGCACAATTTATTGAATAAATAAAATAAGACCATCCATGATTTACTTTACATGATTTACTTATAAACACTTAAATAAACATTGTTTTATTGAATAACACTGATTTAAGAGTCATATTTGATATAGTGAGGAATAACTCCTCTGGTGGCAGTGGAAAAGGGTTGAAAAGTAAATGTCATACCTGAAAGTGAACCTGGGTTGTGTGGAAGAACAAACAGGGGAACTGGGGTGTGTGTGACAAGGACAGCAAGAGAAGGGGGAAACGAGCCAGACAACAGGTGAACAAATGGTGAACAGGATGTGAAGAAGAGTGGGTTCCTCCCTGCGTCTGCTGACTTCTATGTGGCTGGCTGAAGTGAATTAGGCCGGGGAAACCCAACATCCCTGGTGTGACTTCACAGCAGATCCATTCATATTTCTCCCCACTATGCAATCAAATCCCCCACCTGTATTTTAGTGCACATGTCCTTGAGAGACCAGGTGTGCTTTCAGAACTTAAGCTGTGGAGCTGCTTAAAGATGACCACCAGCACTTTAAACAGTGATCGGAATTAGTCTGGAACTGGCTCTGCTGAGCAGCAGCAGCAAAATGTTTGCCCAACAATTAACCTAGAACCTGCAGTCTGAATTAGTGCCAGTTTCTAAGAAGTTTCTGAAGGCAGCTACGTATGCAGTGCATCATAGTAGTCTTAACCTGGAGGTTCCTGAGATACATATTAATGCTCAGTGCCAAAGAGTTTCTCCCATTTTAAGGCAGAATCAATTTTTTTTCCTGCGGCTTATTCAGCAAATTTTGGGCAAGGTTGGATTCTGAAACGTTCTTCATTTGCCTTACATACGAGTTGTTTGAAGTTTCCCCCTCCCAGCAGTGTGGTGTTATATGCAGGAGAATTCTAACCCAGGACATGGGTGTAGGAGTTTCTTGAGAAAGGCAGCTCAGGGACAAGGGGGGGGGGGATTTCAATCCCAAATTTGGAGTTCCATCCATTTATATTTCTAGGTGCCTTGGTGTTCTTTTAGAAAGAGACAAATTTCTCCAATATAATTTATTTAAGGTGAGTCAAGACTCTTTGTATCTGCGTACTTTTTGAAGAGTAATGTCATCAGGAAGGTCTTTCAGCCACTAAAATCTAAAATCAGTGGTCACATAAGTGGTTGTGTACTTTAGCACAATACTAGGATGTCTTAACAGGCTGCCTTGGGCCAAAAGAGGTGGCTGGCAAGTAGCGTATTAATCTTGGCTTGGGAAAGGTGCTGAGTGTCGCTGGTTCTATCTTGCCCTCCAGTGACAAAGCCAGATTTATCAGCATTCTCTGGCTGAACATCTGAGGAGATACAGCTGAGGCAGAAGGAGCGTATTCTGATCCCAAGGACTAGGGATGAGGTCAGGGTCCCTCAAGTGCCACTCCTTGCCCAGTGTCAACAGACCCCTTTTCAATGCTCCACTAGAGTTTCTTCACACAGAAAAGAGGATTTGGACAGTCCTTGAAGGAACTCCTCCAAGTTCTAGTCATAACCTTTCATGCCTGCACCATGTATTTTTGCACATGCACTGCCCACTAATGAGAGAGTTAAAGTCAGCTTATATATTGTTGTTTTATTTGAGAACTCACTACTTACTCTTTTGTCCTCTCTATAAAATCTCATCGTTCAGATGTATATTAATTGTACCACCACTGAAACAGTAGTTGGATTGCTTGCCGATACACAGTTGTACATTACATATGTTGTAGCACAATTTGCACTGGCAGCCAAGAAGCTGAGATTTCGATTTGTCAAGGATCATAATGTCACATAACTGCTGAATACAGTGGACTGACGTCATATGTCATGACAATATTTTTAGACCAGGTTTTATTGGTTTTACATCAATTACCTGTTTTAGCTGAATTTTATATATTTATATTGAAAAGGCCTATGGCCAGAAACAATAAAGTTTATGTATGTATGTATTTGAGAAGGCAAGTTGAGAGGGATCTTTCTCCCCCCCCCACTCCAGGGGCTGTGCTTTGGGGAAGGGACAAGGGCTTTGGGGAGGAGGCAGAGCTTTCCCACAATCCACTGGAGGCTTTCCCACGATCCACTGGACCCACAAAATCCCCCTCATGGCGGAAAGGAAACTGGTTTTATTCTGTTCATGCATCGAAGGCTTCTTTATGTTGTTCTTATTATCTGCCACACAGAGGTGCTGTTTATCTGGTTATGTCTTCATATGCTAAGCAGACTGCAGAGAGAGAGAGAGAGAGAGAGAGAGATTGCATTAATAAAAGCCACTTTCATTTTCCATTATTCCTTCTTTCTGTGTCTAATGTACTTTTAGGTTTTCTCATGCCCTTTTGGAATGGGATATTCCAGAATGGCCGGTGTTTGTTTGCCTCTTATCTCCCCCCTCCCCCAGATATTTAGTTGCCTTTTAACACTGATTTATTATTGTGCTGTGCAATTGCAGGAGAGTTCTCACATACAAAATGGAAGCATACGTGCAGGGAGTAAAACCAAGGAGAGGGCAGGAGGTAATAAGCAGAAAAGAAGTATCCCAGCACCAACACTGGTTGCTTGGTTTGTTTTGCTATGTTCCAATTGGTTTATTGGTTTTACTATTTCTAAATTTGTAATGCCACCCAGAGTAGACCTTTGATGTAGATGGGCGGTGTATACATATAAATAAATAAATAAATAAATAAATAAATAAATGTATATTAAACTATTTAGAGTGCCCTTCACATAGAGGTAGTGGTGATTTATAAAGATGAAATAGCACATCAATGATCAGACACAGCAGGACATGAATCTGTAAAAACAAGAGGGATAAAACCAGCTATAATTCATGCAAATATATGAAAATGCGTAGGTAAAAAGATTTTAACCAGGTGCGTAAAACATTACAGTAATGTTGCCAGACAAGTAACTCTCCAAGTAGTGTTCCAAAATCAGGATGGATCCGCAGAAAATACTCTTTGCTTCCCTTTACTTCCTTTCTTTAATATTTTTAACCTGCCCTGTAGCAGATTTCAGTGCAAAGTACAATTAATGAGGTCACTTTAAAGAATTCTAGCTGAAACAGCCTAAACAATGCAAACAGTTCAAACAATTTCAAACAATGTACTTCAAGCAGAACAAAGCCAGCAATTAAAAAAAACCACACCATGGTCTCACAGGGCATGAGATACTTAAGGTTTTATCTTCATTATTGGGGTAACAATCCCACCACCAACACTTCCCATACCCTCCAGGACTCTTCCCCCACCGCCACCCCAACTGCTATGATACCTATACCAATCCCCCTTCCCATAATTGCCTCTAAATTCTGTTTCCTGGGTGAGTCACATAGAAGATCCCACCCAGCTAGGAATCACTGCACAGTAAACCGGAAGATGCTGCCATGTCATTTTGGCCGATGGGGTTGGATTGCTTTGTAACCTAGGCACCAGCAAAGGCAGTTGAAGTAACTGTAAATAACCACACAAAAAGGGAGTACCAAAATTGCTTTCTGGATCCATTCCCAAATTGAGGTGGGAATACTTTTATTGCCAGAAGCTGAACCCGGACAAGACGGAAGTTCTGAGGGTTTATGCCCCCGTGGTAGGCGGCTTGGGTGACTCACTCACGTTTGGGGGGGTCGTCCTGGCTGCGAAGAGTGGGGTCCGCAGCCTCGGCATATATTTGGCCCCGACGCTCACCATGGAAACGCAGGTGGTGTCGGTAGTCCACAGTGCCTTTTTCCATCTTTGGCGGATTGCCCGGCTGCGACCCTACCTCGACACGGGGGCGCTCACTACCTTGGTGCATGTGCTCGTAATCTCAAGATTAGACCACTGTAACGCGCTCTACGTGGGGCTGCCTTTGAGGCTGATGCGGAAACTTCAGGTGGTGCAGAATGCTGCGGCCAGACTCCTCACTGGAGTGAGAAAATACCATCATATTTCTCCAACGCTGGCTGCATTGCATTGGCTGCCCATTCGCTTCCGTGTCGACTTCTAAGTTTTAATGCTTATTTACAAGGGCCTAAACGGTTTAAGACCTCGATATTTGGCGGAACGCCTGCTTCCACCAAGGTCTACCCGGATCACCCGTGCAAGTCAGGAGGTGAGGCTGAGGAGCCTGATGCCGAGAGAGGCCCGGAAGGAGAAGACACGAACCCCGGCCTTCTCGGCGGTGGCTCCTCGCCTCTGGAACAATCGCCCTCTGGAGATTCGTGCGGCCCCTACGCTGGGCATCTTTAAAACCCAATTTAAAACATAGTTGGTTATTCAGGCCTTCCCTCCAGCCAACTCTTAATTTATTTATTTTGTCTTCTTTACTTTTTCTTTCTCTTACTTTCCCTATTTTTTTTTTAATTTTATTGTACCTGTTACTGAATTAGCATGTACTTGCCTGTGTTTTATTGTCCGATTTTGTATTGGAAGCCGCCTAGAGTGGACTGGTAGTCCAGATAGGCGGGGTATAAATCAAATAAGTAAATAAAATAAATAAATAAATAAATGTCAAGTAAAAGGAAGAAGATATTGAACTGTTTGGAGGAAAGATACAATACAACGATGATAATGTCACTTCTTTCCTCCCTTCTGTTTTGGTGGGAATTTCAAGCTAAGTCATACCCATTACAGTGAGAATAAGGAACAGTGACTGACTG